ACATATGTAAAAATTGAGGTTAAGAAGTGTTAAGCTTTTGCAAACGAGACGGCGAAAGACGATTAGGTGATATTTAGTGGAAGGAGGAGGTATTCAACACTTTCAAATTAAACTCAAATTTTGGCATTATACGACCAACAAGTTTGACTTATAGACGTACAGACACAAACATATGAAACTGTTTATTGATATTGTTATGAAACGAATTTATCTATTTAACATTGCAGCCTGAAATTACAGAAAGAAAATAGGATTTCCGGCTTGCAAAAAGGAAAATTTCGCCGGCCTTCAAGCGCACCGGAAGCGCGGAAAGAGCGCTCGTGCCAGTCCTACTCCGCATCACACATTAAATGAAGAGCGGAGCGCTCGTTTCACCGCCCAACCTTTATCCGCCCTGGTATATTCAGAGAAAGAAAGATTTATTTATTTATAGACTGCGCGCGCTTCGCGCGCGACAAGATTATAAAGTCGCTACGCTCGGAAATATTATTTTCTTTTATCACATTAATTCTCGATTTTCTAAGCAATCTACCCATGAATTCCCAATAGTTTTTACTTTGACTGAAATAAGCACCCGATGGTTCAAATACAATAACTTTATCTAACGAGGGAGACGTAATAACAGTTTAACTAACTTACGGCCCTCTAAAACATAGTAGAGGGAAAATAAACAAAATCACAAATAATAAGCAAAACATTCAAGTCAAATATGCTATGTACTAAGAATCTCATGGGTCTATGATATTGTACGTTACAATAACAAAAATTGCACGTAATACAATATATAAATCGATGGAAAAAGTTTAAATATGTATAAAGAACTTAATGGGGGATTGACAAGGTAAAACGCTTTCTTCAAGTCAACCAATATAGGAAAGTCAGTATCTCGTTTGTTGTTTATCAGTGTTTTCCCAACTTAGTTTTATGGCAGTGGTTTTAATTTTATTTGAAATAGATGAAATGGACCTACAGCTTGATGATGGTCGCTATGGTCCCTCATCCTCTCAGCAAACAAACATTCTTCAAGTTCTGGAAACCATAGCAGATATGCTTCAGGATGATTTCATGAGTGCCGTGTCAGCTCTGACAATATTCACTGAGCAGCTGATTGAGCATGTGCTGAACCAAGTAGACCGTCGAAGGGATAGATACAAGTATTGTAGATTAAAGTCAAGAAAGCAGAAACCTAATTTAAATTTCAAACTTTCTGGATCTCTAGCAGGAGGCTTTACTCCGAGACTTTCGAAGTAAGTGGGAACCAAAAATTGTGTTCTTGGTGATTACCATGGTTACTTTTTCTTTGTTAGATGAGTTAAAGTTTTGCACTTGCTAGGAAATCTCCATGCCATTAAAAATTATCAGCTTGTAAAATAATTTTGGTTATAAATCATTAACAACTACCGGGTAAGATTTGAATTTTAAAAAAATGCACCTTATTTTAGTTTCAATGTATTTAGCACCAAACTACTAACTGGGGATTCTATTTTCACGTCTCCTACTGGAGACGGGACCGGCATATTACGTGGTCATCCTAGCCTCGTGAAGGTCTCGCCGTTTGCAGGGCAAAGGAAATACCTTATTTTCTCATTCATCTTAATACAGTGAGTACTGGTCCGGCACAGGAAATTGGAACCCGAGGCCTCCCGCTCTGCAGTCAAGCACTCTACAGACTGAGCTTATCCTGCTGCGGTTAAAAGATATTATTTAATATTGCGTTTCATCTTATTAAGTTGTAGCGTGGTCAGCGATGAAATATCTCGGCTTTGGAGATTAGCTGTTCTCAGTCCACGAATTACAGCAGTAGGGGATGAAGGAATGTTTGATGCGCTAAGGACTTTAAATGGAAGAGGTATTATCTTTAAAAGGAGGACATATGTGTGTAGTGCACTCTGCCCTCTCAAACCTCTATGTTGTTAACCAGGCAACTGGCATGCAACTTTGTAAACAATTTTCAAATTTCAGATTTCTGGCAAAAATTATCTATAGCTTGAATATAGAAGGCGCACTTGTTTGCTGAAGAGATAAAAACAGAGTCGGATTTGGTTGGAGAAAATTTGGCCACCAAACGTGACGAACTTTATTTTCAAGATCTGCCAATATATAATAAACTAAATATCTCTTCAGCAAAGGTGGGGGAAAAAACCGCCACCCACTAAGAAAAGAAAGAGAAACACACTAGGAATTAATTCGCAGGCAGGCGGAAGGGGAGGTGGTGGAAAATGCTGAAAATTTGTTCAAACCAGCGATGTGAACAACGTGATGGTGAGCGATCGAAAGGGGGCGAGCACATGGAAAAGCGCCCCTAAGAATGATATAGTCCGGAACGCCCTAAATTCTGATTGGCTGGAAATAAGATAGGCTTGAACCTGCCGCCTTGGCCTGCAAACCATTATCAAATTCCTTGCCATAAAATCCCATTATGATGTCGTCATAAAGTGTCTTTTTAACTACAGTGTAAAATCCTTCCTTTATCTAAACGGTAAAACTACCCACTTAAACGATTAAAACCAGTACTAGCCAAATGTTCGATGCGAACGGCCCTAGAACACTTCGAATTATTCTGAGACGGAAATGTCATACGCTGTAGTCTAGGATTTTTTAGCATATTACATTGGCAGAAAAATGGGAATACCGTAAACTTCCGCTTATAGGTCCTAGGTTATTACTACTTCGGAAGAGGTTTTAGGGGGGCTTTTAAATGGAAGGGCTTATATCTGGGGTGGGGGGCGCTTATAACTAGACTAAAACTAAACGGTAAAACTAACCAACAGAACGATTAAAACCAGCACTAGCCAAATGTTCGATGCACACAGTCCTAAAACACTTTTAATTATTCTAAGACGGAAATGACATACGCTGTAGTCTAGAAATATTCACAAGAATACAACTTCGTTAGGGGTTTTAGAGGATTTATAAACGGAAGGGCTTATACCTGGAGGGGAGAGGGCTTATAACCAGGCTTGAAAAATGCGTTTCAAAACAAGCTACAAAGCAGTGCTGATCAAAATACTTTTTGAACTCACTCTCTCCTTTTAAGTTTCAAAACGTCATACAAAATTGAATTCGTTTCAGCACAAGATAGAGGGGGCCTATAACCGGGGCAGCTTATAATCGGATGTATTCTTTTTTTTTGCTTACAGGTGGATGGGCCTATAACTTGGGGTTGGACGGCGGGGGGGGACTTATAGAAGGAAGTTTACGGTATCCAACTTGGGCCGGAAAAACAATATATTAGAGCATACCTTGAGTCCTTTGTATTCTGTTTCAAAACTTTCAAGCCGGTGTAATGAGCCTATAAAAACGAAAAAGATTAAGCATCGCTAAGCAGTGTTCTTTCGAGAAAGAAAGTTTGGAATCAAACGCAAAGCAATCTACAGCACAATCTACGCGAAGAAACAAGTCATTTTAAGTCTGGAGTTTCTGGGAATTCCAGTGATGCACAAAATTCCCAACATCTAATACATGTCTTTTGTTTTTGTGGTTTGCTTTTAGTTTCTGAATCTCTTGTGACTGGTCAATTGCACCGATGGATTGGCCTGGAAGTTGCAATGAAATTATCCTCCCTAGACTGGAAATTACCAGACTTTCAGCAAGTGCTTAAAGGAGAATGGACTTCCATTCCTGTTGTAAACAGCTGTATGGCTATCCAGCTGACCTGCCAATCAAAGAATGCATATGTGTCTGAGTTGATGGCTCTGGATCAGTGCACCAATGATGTAACTGCGATTACAAGTACTAAAGGTGATTCAAACATCACACTTTCATTTTACAACCCTCACTGCATTGCATTCAGCACTCTTTGCAGCATTGATATTCACTCAGTATGTTCCATGATCGAAGCTCTGAATGTCGCTGGTGATCACCAACCTGCTGTGCACCTCGCTGTGGCAGTATCATATGCTCTTGTTTCATTCTACCAGAAGGTTCTCTTTGGAATTTGTAATGTCTCTTCAATGCCCGTGTCTGCTAAATGCACGCTGGGAACAGCACCGTACCAAAGTGTAACAAAGTCAGGCTGTGACCAGGAATCTGATTTTCCAAAAGAAATAGATGTTTCCAGCGACAAGCCATGCACCAGTTCCATTTGGCCAGAGGATACACTTTTGGCGATTAGTACATTTGCATTCCTTTTTGAGTTGTTGTCACAAAAGCCTGACTTAGTTGACGCATCCATTGCAGAAATGAGAACCAAGCTAAGACTTGCTAGTTCTTCGGCCAACGGTGTTCTTGACTGTCCCAAGACAGCAATGTCTCTGAAATTTCAGTTAGGAGTAGTGGGATTGTGTCTGCAGAAGTTGCCTGCGTCATCTCTACACCATGAGGTATGAAAAGAATAATATTCTGCTTTTTCACTATCCCATAAAGCCTCGCGCCTTGAGGGGGTAAAGATGAGTCAAAACTAACACGGCGTGCCTGAGAGCAAGACCTAACAACAAAGTTAAAGTCCTTTAAAGACGTTTCGAAAATGAAAAAAAAGTTAAGTTAAAGCAGTTGTGTAAGACCTTATGTGTCGCTATAGAAAAGATGTTTTGGAAAGAAAGCTCATATTAATGTAATGCTATAGGAATCTCAACATCTGCAACATCTATGGTCGCCGAGAATGATGAGGTGATGAAGTCAGACATATCCATTTCGCAGATACCTTCGATTGCTGTAAATGAACATTAGAGAGAAGCACGAAGCAACGCGAGTGTCGCGCAGCAAGAATAGTTTTTCCCACATTAATTTACAGGTTGAGCACAATATTGGAAAACAATCCTGTTTGCCCCCCAAAGCGCAAAGCATTATGGGATGAGTGAAAAAAAGAGAATTGGTTATTTAGATGTGCGTTATTAAGTTTCTTTTATTGAAAATGTCACAACTAAACAACAAGAGCGAACAAGCCCGAAATGTTAACAAATAAATATGGCACAGAGAAAGAGGACAATGCTGTAAGATAATATAGTGGTTGGGGGCCAGATTTCAACTGTAGGCCTGTTCCAGTGGTCCCCCTTCTCAATCAACTGCCTCATGATGACTGTCCGTTGATCAACGGTATCCTACGGTGCTATCGTTTTTCTACTTTCTTGAATTCTAGTTACCGGATATAATTTGGAGTGTTAGAGTTTGGAATATACTTTTCAAGTTACGTGTAGTTTTGGCACTTGTGTGTATGAGACCACACGCAAAGTGACTCATAGAATATTATTTTGTACCATGACGTAGCTTAAGGAAAACTGCGGAACTATTTTCTAGCATAATAGAATTTAGTATAATATCAGACCCAAAATTTAAGGCTTAGATTTTATGATGGGTTCATTTCGTGTTCGTGGTTTATTTTTATTTCTTTTCATTGTTTTTTTTCTTAGGTAACTCTCCTTGACAAAACTGTTGCATCAGTTCCTGAAATATAACCGTACTGGAACTGTTTGGAGTAAAAGTTAAAATTGCATCTGGAATGTTAAATGTACAATTTCACTAAATACATAAACTTTTATTGATTGTTTGGTTGGTGTGGGAATGTCGTTTCTTGTGGCTTTTCTGTACCCTGACTGATCAATAAATCTGTGATTTGGGATGAAATCAAATTATATTATATCCAAATTTCAGTAAGGAAGTCAATGGGACAAAAGAAAACAATTAGCTTACTTCTAGGTACTTTTTTGATTTCTTTTTATAGGTGGAAGAGTACCATTATGAATGCTGGCTAACGTACCAACTGATCTGCTGTGGTCTAGCAGATGCTGACCTATCGTTCCTCACACATCTTGGACAACAAGTTTGTCAGGGTATCGCCAGGCCCAGTCTAGTACCCCAGTCATCGCTATCACGGGTGATATTCCATCACCTGTTTAAGAGTGCACCTGCAATACTAAGCAATACTCTGTCAGAACAACCAAATGTTGGTCTGAAAGTGGCGCTAAATGTCCTGTCTCATGTCAAAAAGTTCACTGTCAGAGATAGCTCTTTCACCTGGATGCTTTTTGAGTATGCAAATTGTAGACTTTGGGCTAAGCTAGCTGAGGTTGTTCTTCTCTCGCTGTCTGACTCTTTAGAGCTTTTGGGTGAAGGAATGAGTCACATTCTTCATCCCGAAGGGATGCTTGGTGCCAAGTCGATGGAAAAGGCATTAATTGACCGCAGGCCATCTAATAATGTTCTGTCATGCTTGCGGCTCACTGAGTTGATATCCGAAAAGTCCTGCGTGGCAAAATGTCTAGGACGGGTGCTTAGCGAGAAAAAGGGTAACTCGATAGAAATTACACAGTATAAGGTGCAAAAAGTTCAAGGCTCCATGATAAAAGGAGAAAGTTCCGAGCTGGACATTCCAAGGAAGATAATGAACTCTGGAGCGGAGAAGGCTTTGAAGCTCTGTGCTTTTCAGATTGTTGTGCATAGTCTGTGGTTGCAGAGGTTTGCCGATGAAGGTCGCGTACGTCAGACCTATTCTGCCAGGTACGTGTTCTGATCAACTCTCAGTTTAACCTCAGTAAAGCGACACAATACCGCTCATCAACTGTGAACAATTACCAGGGGGTCAATTTGACAGGTTTTTATTAGTGACAGGCTTTAAAAGGCTAGCCAAAGGTACAGAGTACAGGGTACCTTTGGTTCTATAGTCTGAAACACAACACCAGCACCAGCTACACTGGTAAATCACACTTGTAAAAGTTTTATTGCAATGAACACCATGGTTAAAGAAATCGCGTCTTGAAATTGCAGCAAGTCTAATAGGGAAAACATTCAATCCTTGGAAAGCACGGTAGTATGCACAACACAATTGGATTGAAATGGAACCCACTTATTTTACAATCCAAATTGAAAAGATGAAACCGCTTTCAGAGGTGACAACCCTCTACCTCCTTTACCCCACCCTGCCAGAGATCCTTCCTTCACCGGGAAACCTGGCACCAGTTACCATGGGTTTAAATTTTTTAATACTTAATTTCAGATTGAGTGTTGTTGCTGACTTAACGTTTACTTTTATTGTTTACCAACAAATCTGATATCCATTGCATTTAGTGCTTGGTGGCTAACAGACCTTGTTGCCAGTTCTGGAGTTGAAAGCCTGGAATACCTTGTTCATTACAAGGGAGATGTCACAACTATCCTCAAACAAGACGACCTGCTGGATCTTTGCGAGAAAGTTCTCAAAGTAAGCCAATGGATTTTGAAAGAAATGCGAGGATTGGGACAAGGAATTATTACTTCCTGTTATGACCACGGGTTTCTTTTATTCTGTAATGCTTCGAATCTGTTTCTTTTTCAAAGCAAAGTAGTGCATTGTCAAAATTTGGTTAAAAATACCTTTGCTAATCTATATATTCAATTCATTTCACCTGAAAGCCAGGTCTGCGGTGCACTTGCAAGAAAATTGCATTTATTTGTTAACTTTGTCCCTGCGCGTTTGTTCTTTTGCCCTTTGATCACTGTAAAGCTGATTTTAAATGAATCGATTGGAAAACCGTAGCTGTCATATCATTTTTTTATTGCCCGGGTACGCGAGAGTCTATAGTCTTTTTCCCCTTCTGTAGTTGCCTACCATTCTGACTCCAGTTTCTTTATACAAAAAAATTCGTCAAGTGTGACAAATATCATGACTGTTGTACTTAAGATTGAAATAAGGTTCTCATTTATCATTCGCAGAAGCTTGAGCCGGAGACGCAAGTGAAACCCATTGTTCAAAACATTCTTCTCTCGTTGCTACAAAAAGCCAGTCAAGCTCAAGCGGAAGACAAAATGATGAGCATCATATATTTTTGCATGTATGTACTACAAGCTAACGTTTTTTAGAATTTCAGGAACTGAGTATCCTGTGAACCTCTAAGTGCCCCCAACTACAAGTGACATGTGATGGGAGACGCTTTCTAGAACTAGTTGGCGCTTTACAATCAGCAGAAGAGTACCTGTAGATATTCGAGAGATTCTTGCGGCAATTACACAAAACTAAGCTTGATTTAGGTCCACTTGAATGCTAGCGTTTTGCCTTGCCTATGACACGATGAGGTAGAATACGACGTCACCTCTTTTTTGTATTGCTGTGTTCTTTTTATTCTTTCCCAAGATTTCAGGTAAAGAGGGTCTTCAGGTTAACGTGCACTAGTTAATTTAGAAACATACTCCATTTGATGCAAGAGAGAATGATCTTCTCTCTTGTTTGATGCCATTTTTGCTAAATGAACGGGGTTGGTATTGCCCCAATTTATATCTAGCAGTAAATAGAGGTTCCCTCTCTGTGAAGTAAAAAATAAAATCGGTTTTAAACTTAACTTCCTTAAAGCCTTAGGTTCAGTAGATCTTAGAGAAATGTAAAATCGTAATTATAACTGAAGTTAAACGAAGAAGTCTTCAGGCTAAAGCATTACCTAAAATATAAGTAAATGTTTAATAATATAATAGGTGACAGAAATATGCAATTTCCTTTCAGATGTTCATTTAACTCTATACGTGAATAAATTCCTGATCTGGGCTTCTGTTCGGTACAGAAACACATGAGAAAAACAGAACCTGTTCTTAGTAAGAAGTGTTTTTTAAATCTTCCAACTGGACAACGGAATACTCGAGTGCTGTGGTTTTTGAATGACTGAAACACCACGGACCACTTTCATTATCAGTGGCATACGTTTTCGTGGCTTTGAGAACGGATTAGTTTACGTGATTCTCTGATCTCATTGTGATTGGTTAGTTACTTTAATTTGGCTATGGTTTTTGAACGCACTCTATAAGTAGAAAAAGACGGCAGGCAAACCAATTCCATTTCTCAACAGATGCAAATTCGAACTCAAATCTCTATTTCAAAGTTCACTACTTTACAATAAAAAAACATTCTTCTTCCTTATTCTAGTCTGAGGAAGGAGAATAAAAAGTGGTTTCCAGTGTCTTCAAGTTCTTGTGTGTAATTTCTCGTACAATGATATTGACTGGGTTGGACTGTGCAACTCCCATGCGCTGTCGTCGTGCTTTATCCGATGGATAGCGCTATCCAATATTTGAACAACAGGGGTTACTAATTGTCATTTCTTTCCAAAAAGGGGGATTTATTCGGTCCTTACAATACTACTTCTACACGTATTGTTTTTAGCGCCATCTACAACCTTAGGATGTTGAACCACTTGACAACAAAAGGGTCGTGATTTTCAAAACCTTGTAAGTTTCATCTGGACTTACTGTGTGTACTTAAACGAGCGCCCTGGTGCTTATTAAATTTTTAGACTTATCAATTTGAGGGAGGTACTAATTAGGGGAGGCGCTTGTTTTGGTAATGTATTAATTTTAGGAAATAGAGGTAGTACGTAATCTAAACATTTCTTTCTTTGTTTACTGCTCGAAAAGAACAGACGAAGAATATCACAAGAATCAGTTTTTCGGGATCTCTTTCAGATCTAAAATTAATAATAGTTATCAAAACAAATGAATTAACCAGCATTAGCAAGGTAAAAAAGTTTCACATCAATAAGCGCCCCATTTGTTTACTAAGCAATGTGCTCATTCTAGCTTAAGGTATGTAGAGTTCGTCAATAGATATAACGCTTCGAAGATCATTACTTCACCTGCACACATTTCGACACGCATTTCTAATAAATAGGGGGAATCGATGTGCACCTCAGCTGGATTTAATGCCGTGGATTTGTACTGGACTTCAAAATCTTCATAGCAGCAACTCATTTGCTCCGTTCCAAGTGCTCATCGATGCCAGCAATGGAGTGCTGGCACATTACAAGGAAAGGCTGGCTAAAGCAGAAAAAGACCTTTCAGAAGAGAAACTGTGGAAAACTAATCTGTTTATTACACGACTTAAACCAGGGACCACTGATGAGGATTTAATTGAAATGTGTAGTAGGTGAGTACAGAGTTTGTGAGTACATTCACACCAGAAATCAGATATATGTTGACCGCCAGAGAGGCGCTTGAAGTAAAGCCTGAAGTGACTTCTGATACACTGCTAGACATTTCTTCCAGTATTTTCATTGTGTTGTAATATCAATGTTGAATTGTAGGTGTCAATGTTTGAACTGTCAATCTTTGAAACCCTTTTTAAGGCCAAGTGTTAGTACATTTAGGGTGAAATGTTATTTAGGCCTTCTTCACACGTTACTATAGTCTCTTACGCAGCCGTTTTTGTTTCGTCACGCAACGCTCCTCTCCAAGATACTCAAACTACCTGAGAATTGTCTTCAGTTTGTTTAACACATATTATGCAGGTTTAAACATGGGAGAATAAAAGTCTGTAAACAAATTGCAATACAGCCTCTTCCATCAAACCATTCACTGAGGGCTTGCTATTATTTTTTTATATGCGCTGTAGTTAAGATCGATCATGCTCAACCTACGTATGAGTTAAGATCGAGTCATGGATGTTCCCGGGAAGTTTGGAAAGCACAAGACACCTTTACGCCCCGAATAACTGTAGGTTCTTGACTGCCCTCCGAACTATACCCAGGTGACATTTCTTGACACTTTATGCTCCACAGTTATGGAAATATTATCTCAACAAAGGCTGTTTTGGATGACGAAACAAAAAAAGGTAAACCAAATGCCTTTTCTTTTGCAGCTTCTTGCCTATAGCATAAGATCAATAATGGACAAAGTCTGAAGATATAATGAAAGATAATTTGAACAAATCGAACGAATTTCTGATGAAAGCAGCACTAGTTCCTGTCGCAATCTAGTCTTGTCCACGGAAAATTTTTGAGGAATTTTTTTTCTTCACTGACAAGTCTGTTTATTGCTCTATTATTAAAAAACAGCCAACATATTTCGTCAGAAAGTTATGGAATCTGGTTATTTTGCCTAAATAGCCTTACAGATACCGTTTTGCAATTTCTAAAATTCGAAAATCGATCGGGCGTGTTAACTTCAGCATTCTCAGGAAGATCCCTTTCCCTTCACCCGTACACGAACATCTCTCGAGCGAACTTCAACGAAGTGACTAATCAGAACAACGTTTGTTGTCTTTACTGATACTAAGCAGACAGGACCTTGGCCCATGTTCCCCATTCTCGTTGCAAGAGCTGCGATTCACTTTGTCAGCTCCGCGGATCGATCGCTGAACAAAAGGATCGCAGTTTCCCAGAGCTCTCTAGGCGGAAGAGCTCTGGGTCAAGATAAGGAAAAAGGAATGGTAATTTTGCATTCTGTGCATGCTCAATCTTCCAACTGTCATCAACCATTTGTGGAAAAAAGCTGATATAGTGCTCTACTTATAAACAACATTTTGGACAGTCTTGCTTCCTCATTTCGTGGCCAGGTAGTGACCAGAAAACTGCTCTGTTTCCTTCAAACGGTATTTTTCGGAAAATTTCACGGGACGATAGGGTTGGAAAACGTGACCTTCAAATCACTGAATCTAGCTGTGAGGATTCACGCAGTTGCAATAGTAATCAGTCATTGTATCGAAGTTTAATGGTGGCCTCTAATTTTTAACAGGATACGGATTCGTGGATTTTGAGTCTTCAGCTGAAGCCCAAAAAGCATTAAAGGCCTTGAGACGCAGAGGATTTCACGCCCAAATGGCAAAGGTACAGGCCTTTGTAAATAGGCATTGTGTAAACTTCTCAAACTTGTCCCCAGGGCTTCCCTCTTTAATATTTTCACTCCCATAAGTAGTGCTGTGCCAGCAGGATTAGCAGTTTTTTGGGGGGCAGCAAAAGGGCAGTAAAATTCAATAAATAGTTCACGAATAAAATGCGCGGGAAACTTGTTTAATTTATGCTGACCATGTTCAGGCAAGTACTAATAATGACGTCAGTTCAGCTCAGTAATAACCCCAATTTGAGAACGTTGACGTATTATTATAAAAACATGCACAAAAAAACAATTAATAACTTAACAAGGATCAATTGAAACAAACAACTAATCAATAAACACTCCCAATAAAATGAGATACGTTTCTTAAGACACAAGAAATCAAAGTTATGACCCTTTATTAACATAATTGCAAAAAAATAGATTAAATAATCTATTGAAATAGTCAAAGAAGGCAAGCCACCTCATTTATTCTATACATTTTCCATCCACAAAAAAATCGACCTCATATCGACCATAGACTCAACTTTTTTTTTTCAACACAGCTTCGTGCCACATTTCTATTGTTTTCCACCACTATCACATTTCTGTAGTTTTCTCTCAACCTCCATCACCACATTTCTATTGTCTCCCTCCATCACCACCACTGCCACCACATTTCTATTGTTTCTCTCCACCACTACCACCACAATTGTATTGTTTCCCTCCTCTACCACCACCACCACGTTTCTATTGTTTCTCTCCGCCACCGCTACCACCACCACCACATTTCTACTATTTTCACTCCTCCTTTTGTTTTGTTATTTAGAAGGTCACAGGCCAGACAGGCCAAAAACCAACCTCAGGCCAAAAAGGCCAAACGCAAATAACAAAATAATAGGAGGAGTGAAAACAATATAAATGTGGTGGTGGTGGAGAGAAACAATAGAAATGTGGTGGTGGTGGTGGAGGAGGGAAACAATAGAAATATGTTGGTTGAGGAAAACAATAGAAATGTGGTGCTGGTGGAAAAACAACAGAAATGTGGCGATGGTTGTATACAGTTTCACTATTCACGAAGCTGTGTTGAAAGAAAAGTTGAGTCTAGGGTCGATGTTGGGTCGATGTGAGGTCGATTTTTTTGTGGATGAAAATATATAGATTAAATGAGGTGGTGAAGGAGGAGCGAACACGATAAAATTGAGGCGGAGGGAATGAAAAAAATTGAGGAAGGAAAATAATAAAATTGTGGAGAAGGAGGAAAATAAAAATGAAAGGGAGAGGGATAAGTAAAACATTGTGCACAGTGTAAAAAAAAAGGTAGCTTGCCTTCTTTGACTATTTTAATAGAACATTTAATCTATTTTTTTGGCAGTTATTTTAATAAAGGGTCATAAAGTTGATTTCTTGTGTCTTAAGAAACGTGTCTGATTTTATTGGGAGTGTTTATTGATTAGTTGCGTGTTTCAATTGATCCTTGTTAAGTTATTAATTGTTTTTTTGTACATGTTTTTATAATAATACGTCAAGGCTCTCAAATTGGGGTTATTACTGAGCTGAACTAATTTGTATGCAAATGTGCGCATGTTAACTCGCATAGTTAACTGACTAACTGCGCGTGAAACGCTGAGACTTCAATAGTTAGTCGTTTCCTTGAGATAGAAAGGAGAAAACGGTTTTGTAATAGTCAGACAAAATTGACATAAAGAGTTTTCAGCTCTCCTTTGTGTATGTGTGTTTTTTGTTTATATATATCCGATTTTTAGCGCTAAATAGAAGACATTAGCCGTTTCTAATGGGCTTGCTAAACTGTCAAATGGACCTTATGGTGTTGTGACGTCATTACTAGTGCTCGCCTGAACATGGTCAGCATAAATTAAACAAGTTTCCCACGCATTTTATTCGTGAGCTATGTATTAAATTTTGCTGCCCCCAAAAACTGCTAATTCTGCTGGCACACCACTACTCCCATACAAACAGATTTTGTGGGGAAAGAGGTTGTTTCCCTTGGAGCCCGTCGTTAAGTGTTTTGTAGCACATGCGATTGTCAGACGTCTCTTTATGACAACGGCGAATTTGAAAGATGACCAAATTATTGTCCGTTTATGGTATTTTAAATTGTCGTCTACTTTGCACTTTTTGTCGTAAACGCGATGCTTAACCTCTGTAATGAATTCTTCTCTTTTTCCCCTTAATGGCTGGACTCCTACGAAGACATTTATCTATAGGCTACCTTATATGTAGAGCACTATGACTGTTTTTCTCCTCAGCAACAAGGGAAAGACCCCACAAATTTATGTTTTCTCTACCTTCCAATGGATTTCGATGAACCGGTAGGTCTATCTTTCTATTCACTTCTTTTTTAGTGTCCACAGGGCTCAAAATGGCAACCGGTCAACGGTCAAGATGACCATTTGTGCGGACAAACTTTCCGTTCGGCGATCATCTTAACCGAACACGTAAATAAGCAACCAGAAAAAAAATTTCATTTTCGCGCCATTACCTTTCAAGGGCACATGCATCTTTTTTTCGCTTCATGCTTTTGCTTGTTAGGCTAATACGGGCACGTTATCGTCTTGTTATTTTTAACATTTTGACGGGTCAGAAGAGAGACGTGACGGAGCTAAAACTGATTTAATTCTCTGGTCCATACCGGTAGATTTTTAAGGATAAGGTTGGTTCCACTGAATTCCAAAGATGATATTATTTTTCTAGTCTCAAATGAAAAAGATAACGATGAGTTAAATTACTGATCGCTCCTCCTCTGTACTAACACGATTCTTTTCCAAACCAGCATTTTTTTTCGGAGCTAGGCTTTCCTTTGCGTAACGCCATTCTGTTCGTTTGTGGGAACGAAATTATCCCTTATTTGCGCTAAAAAGAATTTTGAAAGTTCTGACGACGAAATCCATTGCGAAATCTTCTTCACAGAACAAAACTGATCTTCGCAGTCTCTTTTCAACATTGAAGTTCGAAAATCGTTCCTTGAATCGAGGCGAGTGAGTAGGAAAACATCAACAGGGAAGCCTCAAGGATTCAAGAGCCTCTGACACTCATTCGGCAATCGTACTGAAGCTTTCCAAAAGGCTTCCGGTTTTTTCTTGTAAACTCACCCACGAAAACGCCGTCGTCTTAACTTGCTACCTCTGGGTCTTTGAGGATGCTTTCAAAGCAAGCCGTTAAGTCTACAATGTCGCAGTTGGACCTGTGTGGCTGTTATTGGCCGAAAAGACCTCCTCCTCTTAAGCAAGATCCGTGAGACGGAATTTCCACCCTCGCCATCGAAACGAGGCTGTAAAAAATCCGTTTTGCTTACAGAAGAAGAGTTCTCGATTGATGACAAAAGGTCTGTTTGAGCTTTGAAAATTGTTCTTAAGCTACGCGCAAACAGAGGCAACAACTCCCAACATTGCTTGACCAATCTCATGCAGACTCGTCTGGCTTTTCACAGTAATCATAGTAACTTAAACGTATGAAGATTTCTTTAGTTTTGTAGCTGGTGCCTTAAGTAAAGGCTCTATTCTTTTAAGAAGCGTGCAATAACTTGCAACACTTTTAGAATCAAGTCGTCAGAGTTACTAACTGTTTCATTGAGTAGAATCTCACGTGACAACCTCGTTAATATTGATGAGGCAACCATCTACACGACGATGAAAATCATGACATTTCTTAGCTATTCGGTATTCGACGAACTTCGTTATCTTAAGAAACCATTAAGAAACCTTGAAACCTTCGAGTCTTCCCTCTAAGCAGCATTTGGTGAGTTGATATTCATAGTATTTAAACGATTTGTTTATTTTGCACCAGATTTCTGAAGGAAAGACAAAGAAAAGTGAATCTCTAGTATGAGGATCGACTTAGCTGTGCGCAGCGGTTCTCGTTTTCTTTAATGTACAGCAATACCCAATAGGCCATTTTACAGTTGTGTATGGAAGCGAGGCTGAGGGTGACCTTGTTTTGATACAAACCTTCCTGCTTTATTATGTAAATCAAGTTATTTTTATGCTAACCAGTATTTTTCAAGAACAATTTCCATAACAAAGCAAAGAAGGTTTGTATCAAAACAAGGTCACCCTCAGCCTCGCTTCCATCCATAACTGTAAAATGGCCTATTGCGCACCAAAAAATAGTCTTAATTTAGTATTTGCAGTAATTTATTGGTTAGTCGGCACTATTGCTTTTCTAAATATTTAGTCGTTTACCAGAAAATGCATAAAATTTTAGAAAAACAAGAATAATTGTCGTTGCTTTTGTTCATCAAAGAAATTAGAAGCTATGCTAAGGAAATATGGAAAAGTACAATCAACCAGGATCTTGAGAGATTCAGACAATATGAATAAGATGGTAGGATTTGCAAGGTAATTTTTCATTCTCTTCTCTGTTAGTTCTTTATAAACTCCTCATTAATAAACTCTTCCAATTGGGAGTGTTTTCGCATAAAAGCTCTATGCTAGGTACCACACAGAAAACACACAAAAAGTAATGGGCAAAATTCTGGTGGCAGGGAAGCGCTTAAATCTAGGGGTAAGGGGACCAAGAGAGAAATCCCCCTGGGAGAGACAAGATCGAGTGGTACCGGGGGTGAGCCACCCTGGACAGGAATCCTGATCAGTCTCCGGGGGTGAGGCCCATATCCCCTAGTCACTAGGAACTAAGGGGAACCAGGAGGGGGTGGCCCTCCTGGGTGGAGTGCAGATCAGGGGGTCCACACCCTGGAGGGGATATTTCTCCGGACCTGTCTCAAAGGGCTAAGCCTTACTGTGGGGTAAATTGCAGCTAGTGGTTGCACTTCCCTGCCACTCCTTTTATTGGGAAGCAAGACAGTGGTTCCACATCCCCGAAACCTAATGAAGGAATGAGACCTAGTCCAGTAAAATACCATAATATAAATGATTAATCTTAAAGATACATATAGATGTAAAGGAATAAAATAATGATCTGCTTGAAATACGTTCTGGTCGTGCTAAATATATAGTGAACATAAGTAATAATCGAAAGAGCTAAACAAAGGTTCCAGTCAGGACAAAGGGTGGGTGGGAGGGAAAAAACGCTGTTATGAATGAACCGAAGCCCTAAGCGAACTGAGTGGGAAAGGACAGTGTACGGCAAAAAGAGGAGCACATGTGGATGATGAGCATGTGATAATATGAATGGAACCTTTGTGGAGTCTAGTAAATATATCATGCTAATTTACAGTGGACTTTGCCAAAGAAGAAGGATACATTGTAATCGAACAACTAGTTAGTGTTCATTGTTCTTTCTTGTACTTTGAACTAGTTTCTACCGTAACTTAGTACAAAAGCTTATCCAAATGTTGCACGTTGTTTAACGTAAGAACAGAGACATGATTGTTGCTAGTATGTCAATAAGTGTGCTTTCATGGGGCATAATTCTCAGGTTTATTAACATCAGTTTATGCTACCATAAACTTGAACTTTCAGGTGAAAACGCCGTGAGCAAAAATTCAACGATCCAGTTTGACGCCAAAAAACACCGGGTGTCCGTTTCCAGGAAAAAGCCCAGACACTTGTATTTATTCGAAAATGATTTTAATATTGCGTACAATTTCTGTACTTCCACTGACCTATTTCATAAAAAATTCCTCGTACGTTCTGAATGGGTAATACATACACTGCTTCAATTTGTCGCTCATGGAAGGTAGAATAGGAAAAGTTATCGAGCTGTCACCCCAAAAATGGGTTCGAGGTCGCTGTCGCTTAGCAGACGGGTTTCAACTAGGACTTTGACTGGGACAATTCTGGCGTTTTAGAAAGGTGGTCGCTTATGAGAGGTGGTAGCTTAGCTACCTGCGGTTTAATCTAATTGTAAATGTATAGTAAACTTGAAACTTGAAAACTGAAACAAGTCTAAATCACTCGGCTGTGACACGTGTTTAGATGAAATTTTGATGGAGCATTGTGCTTGCTTATGCATGATCTCGCAATCCCTGACCAATACTTCCATTTCTTGTGATGCTGTAATTTTGTTTAACAGTTATATGTCACCCTGTTATTTATTAAGTGTATTCAACTCTAGTTGCTACTTTACGCTACTTCATTTCCTTTTTAAGAATGGAAAATACACACATTTGCAAACAGATTATTGAAGACTTTAATGGAGAAAAGATTGAAGGTAAGTAAGCGCCTGAGAAGTGTACCGCGACAGCTTCAGTGGTATACATAGTAGATTTACGAATTATACCTTTTTACAAGGGTTATAACGCTTTTTCTGGCATGCCATTAGTTTGCATTGCGGCCTACTCCGACTGGTACCAATCCTAAATTAAAGGTACAACGAGTTTCCCCGTCATTTGTTTTTTTGTTTTTTTGTTTTTTTTTTTTGGGGGGGGGGGGGGGGGGGGGGGAGGGGGGGCCCGCCGGGGGCGTGGTTGTGAAAAAATTTTTAAATGTCAAACCCTTTTTTTCCCCTTTTCAATTTTTTAGTAAATTTTCTTTTTCCCTTTTTAATACCCTTTTTAAGGTTTTTTGGGGTTTTTTTTTTTTGCGAGGGGTTTGTTTGAATGTTTTGATAAAAAAAAAACCCCCCATGTTATTTAGTGGGTATTTGTTGTATCTGATCTGAGTGTGTTTATGTGTTTTTTTAGTGTGTTGTTTTTTTTTTTTTTTTTTTTTTTTTTGTTTGAGGGGGTTGGTGGTTTTGTGAGAGGGGGGACCCGCCTGGGACTTGATTGTGATAATATTTTTACAGTTCAAACGCTTTCTTTCCACTTTCGAACTTCATAGTACATTATCTATTGCACGTTGTAATAGCCTTCGTAAGGTATTTTGGGATTTATCTTGTTAGCGAGCGGTTATGTTGAATGCTATGATACAAGAAGCATCCACCTGGAAGACAAATCACCGGTGGATTTTATAATGCCAATTTTGACGGGTTCTTACCGTTTTTATAGGAATTAAGGAGCTTTGAGTTTGGACGATCGGCTTAAAGAAGAACCATCCTTCAATTATTGTTTAACTGAAGTGTAACTGAAACTTTGAAATTGGCCAAAAGGGCTTCGCCAAGGCCCCAGAGGGAAACAGACACTAACACACACGAAACGAAAAAAAGGAAAGCCATTTTCACTTTGAATATTTCAAAAGGCATTAGTTAGGAAATAATGTGTTGTTTAAATAACATTTTCATATAGAATTTAATTCACACTGCTCCCACGGAGTCTGGGCTACCTCTGCTATAAGTGCCCTTTGTACACTTTGTATATGTTGTGGCTCAAATTTATGGATAATAATGGATAAAAATGGATTTCAAACAAAGGAAAATAAAATTTAAACCAAGGTTAAAAATTGAACTACGGCATTTACACGCAGTATTCATACTGTCCGACACAGTTTTACCAGCCTTGAATGGACGACAATTTTGATGTAATAATAACCACATTTTGCATAGCTAAGCACATGTACAACGAAGCCCGTTTGTGTAGTTATCATTCATGTGAAGAAATGACTTTGGCTCTCAAACTGAATTATTTGGTAAAACAGTTTCTTTAAGTGGTTGACGTGGAATTGAAAATAATAAACCTTCTTACTGCCTTCTTACAGGAAATGTCAGATCACTTGTCGTCAAGTTTGCTGATTTAGGTCCCAGGAACAGACAGAAATCTCGGAAAAATCATGGTATGATAAACGTTTCTGAGTAAATGATACAGATAAATATTATTGAATTATATATACTGAACTTGCATGTCGCTAGTGCTGTTTTTTAAATTCACAACTTCTGATAACGCATTTCCAGCTTTTTCATTGGCTGAAACACGATTAACATCAATTATTTTTCCTTCAAAATATTTCTCTGTTTCTGATTGGGTGAAATCCACCAGCAAATTCGTCAACCAGCTAGTGTTGACCAAATTTGGAAGACGTTTACGAAATCCAATAAAATGACATCATCGGTGCAGGATAACAACAGAAAAAGGCACGGAAACCGAGAAGCCTTGGCGACTACTGGTTAGCTAAGTTGATTTGGTAGAGCCAGTGCAAATGGCCGAAACTTTCTACTGCCTAAAATATAGCAAGAAGAGCAAAAATACAACTCGACGGATGACAAATGCTACTGAGGAATATCTGCTAGCGTAAACATCCTTTTTTGCGGGCGAGCAAAATTCGAGCCCGCAGTCGTATTTTTGGTGGAGTGGTCAGCGACACTTTTTGAATGTATAGCGGGGTTCTTCCAAAATCTGTCCAGATTCTTAGGATCCTTTTGTTCTTCAACCTAATGTGCATGGTATGTGGTACAGAGAGAGCAAACCGGTTCCAATGACACCCATTAAATGGCCATAAATCGGCTCGGAAACCACACAGGAAAGAAACACACAACTTAAGCAAGGTTAGCCGATTTTTATTTCATCCTTTTAAATTCGTAGGCTACAGGAACAATTGCTTTTTCTCCCATACAAATCCTTACATTTTGAACGTAGTGCCGGTGGGCGTATTTCGAGCTAGGGCCACCGGTGAGCATAAATAAACATTAGTGAGTCTTAACGCAGACGTAATGATATTTTCTGTAAAATGATCCTATCCATGTGTGTCCGGTTGGATACTGGTTTTGCGGTAGTTTGCTATTACATACCACTTTTAAAGATTTGCTGCGTAAACACTATAACATTGTTTATGAGATGTAATTAGCAACAACTTTCTTCAAATTCTGTTTCTGGCTATAGCGATTGTCTTGGTGCTGTAGATCGTGTGGTCTCCAAATTACGTACTGTTATGGTAAAGATTATACACTTCAACAGCTGAAACAACACACAACACTACAATAGCCAACCAATAGTAACCAACAGTTATTTCTTCAACAAAGGGAAAGACCAGTACTATCTGTTCTTCACTAGATCGTTTGCTTTTTCTTTTCAGCAGACAGCTCTTGTTCAACTAATGGGCAGGGGGTGAGTAAGAACAATCAAGTCGTAAAGAGATTTCTGTTATTAATCATGATTGTCCAGACAGATCAGCCTGTTCCCAAATTGTGCGAACGAAGTGATAATTTCATTTCCGGATTAGTCTGTTAGAGAAAGATCAGAAAATCGTAGGCATGTGACGTAAAAAAAGGCTTTGAAAGGTATTAAAAATCACTGATAAGATGCAATGAACTTCTTGCCAGTCTCGTTGATTTGAACTCAAGTTGCCAGTGAGCTTACTCGCTCCAAGTAACTGTAACATTTCACCGTCCGGAGTCTGTGGAAACTAATTGAATCCTCTTGTGGCCATTCAAATAAAAGTTCTTCAACATTCTTGTACATGGCACTATTTATGTTCACTCACTTCATTAAATTGTAGTCGAACCTCTTCTTACTCCTCGCCGCTCTAGACAGATCTGATTACGTTTAGTCTCAAAGATGCCAGACTTTATACAATCCCTGCTTCTTTTACACGGACACCTCTGTTACGTGGAAACTCAGCTCTGCTCCTCTGTGCTCTTATTAAAGGTTTGACTGTCTTTAATGACTGTTGTCCTGTGATAAAAAATAGTTATTCTGCTGGGCCTTCAAGATAGGGGTAATGATCTACTTCATTAATGAAGCAAGATATGCTACCACGTTGTATTGGCCATTGCATTTGCACAGTGACAATTAGAGTGGGTAACGAGTACAGTGGAGTGTGAACAAGGACAGTGGAGATCTCTTATCGTCATTTTTCTTGTGTCTTACTATCTGCTTGTAACAGTTCTTGGGACATATCTCGCTCCATCTTCAAGAGTTCTTTCCTTTTAAGCGAACAAAGCCCGTAAAAAGGCCCGGTAACTGAGTATATCCACCTGAACTCCCTGTAATGAAAAAAGGCCGAACTTACGTTCGATTATCAAGACGGCGCTAACTGCAATTGTTTTAAACTCTATTAATAAAAACACCCGTTTCGTATTGGTTACACTTTGGTTAACATCTCAAGTCCTTTGATGGTGTATGGCTAAAAATAGTTTCCTTTTTTAGGGGCGCCCATTTTACGAAGAAACACATGAGGACGATGAATTATTTTACGGTGACGAAAGCTGCGACAGTGTGTTGGCCAAGAGAAATCCGTACAGAACTGCTGAAGCGCACCCATTTCTGAGAATCGCGTTTAATCTGGGTATGTTGGGACTAGCAAAACTGGCAGAGAAAGGTTATGGAACGAACCACGGCGGGTCTCAGTATCGTCGCGCCATTTCCTCCATGTGCAGGTTTGTGGTCTTTTACCCGTGTGTCCAATCTATTAACTCTTTCCTTGCTAGTCGGGAAATTAAATTTTATCTGATCTAATTATAAGAAGAACAAAGAGTACCATGAAAAAGTACTGCTAAAGATCTCGAGGTTTTATGTGAAAGGCCACAAAGACTCAAGAATCATAGCAAAATCTATATATATGTCCATAATTACTGCGAGTTGGGGTAAACGCCTGTAAGCAAATACTAGTAAATAGGACAATCTTTCAATCTTTTCTTAAATAACATGATCTTTCGATAAAAATGTCGCTTGACACAGGAATAAACTCATAAATAAACCTTGTAGTGTGGCTGTTCTCTTCTCTCCATGCAAGCCTTACCACATGTCTTACTACAAGGAACAACTACTTTTAAAATCTCTCAAGTTTTAGAGACAACAAGAAAGGTTAAGAGAGGTTGTGTGTGATTTTTCATGAAAGATATTTTACTCAACACTTTTGCCCTGCCAGTGAAATCCTTTCTGTAATTCCTGGTCAACAGTTAAAGAGAGATTGAGCCAAGTACTTTAAGAGCGCGTACGTTTGAGAGTGTTCCATAATAAGAATACAGTCAACTCTCGCCTTACGGACACCCCGCTAATACGGACAGCTGCTGAATATCAGGCGAAAACTACAGACATTTGACTGAAACAAACTCCCGCTATTACGGACTTGCGGACACCTCTCTCGATCCCGAGAGCACAATTTTATTGTCGTAACTCTCGTTTTAACGGAGATCAATCAGTATCTTTTGACATTTTGGCAGAATCACCTCAGATTATAATTTATTTCTTCCTCTACTTCTCTTCGTCTCTGTCTCTTTGGTTGAAAAGTGACGATTTCCGTTAAACATGATCCTTATGTGAAACTACCGTCCTTACTTCCAAAAAACAGTCATGGTGTACTTAATGTACATAAATTGGTTTTTCTAGTACCGTACTTTATGGTTTTTGTGTACTACAAATTTTTCAGTGACTGTTGTGGTGAATGAAAGGGAGATGCAAGTTTTGTTCTGTAACGATTTGTCTTGTGTGTAAATAAAGTGCTGACACACTATCCAGTTTTCGCTCTCGTCTATGGTAAAAACTAGAAATCCGGTGGAAATAAATAATTACATGAATTTATTATATGGCGACAATAGTACGCGCTCTCTGAATTAACTATCGCCGTTAGAGTTACTACAGTCGAACCTCCCGTAAGCAAACACCCTAAATGCAAAGACTGAGTGGTCGCTTACGAGAGGTGGTCGTTTACAAGAATCGAACCACAGGGGCCTTTTCCGAGAAGAGGTCCAGGCACATCTACTTTATGGAAGCTAATTTATTGCACCCAATGTCTAAGTTACGACGTGACAAGTTCCATGTTGTCACTAAAGTTCTTCGTATATCCTAAGTAGCATAGTGCACAAAGCGATCATAGGGATCAGGGAATGCGTCAAGTGGTCGCTTACAAGGGGTTAAAAACAAAGGAAAATCATTAACCGACAGGCCCAAAAAGTGGTCGCAGTCGCTTACAGGAGGTGGTCGTTTACTAGAGGTTCCTACTGTAAGGCTTTGAATGGGAAAATTTTGGTGTTTTGGATTGGCGGTCGTTTATGAGAGGTGGTCGCTTACCAGAGGTGGTCGCACGTGAAGGTTCGACTGTATTATATGGACAGCAGTGAAGCAGAAACATTTTTTACGTAAAAAGGGACCCCCCCCCCCCCTGCATTTCATTGAGTACATCTAATTAATTATGCTGTTCCGCCTTGTTTGGGGATTTTTCCCTTTGATATTGCATGGTTAATCAGCTGACATGCAAGTAGACAGATGCGATTTCTGCTATATAGAACCACGGAAACCCAGTCGTTCCTTGCGCAAAAACTACTTTTTGACGTGCCATAACCGCAACAGAGAGGGAAGCACTTCCTCCGCCTTTGGAGCCCAGAAGTTTGAAGCCCAGCCTGTATGGCCCCAAGAAATAAGGGTCGCAGACGACAACAAACTCTTCAAGAGTTTGACTTTGCGAAACAAAACGGAACGAAACCTGATTTGCTAAACGAAACCGCTTAAACGAAACGAAACATTGAACGCTGAAAGTCGCTCACACCCGGAAAATACCAATCTCGTACCCAGAGTCTTCTGGCTTTTTGGTCAGCGGGGCAACTTGACGAAGGCTCTGGGGACATCAAATCTCGACCGCAATCTCGTGCCGCGAGTCTTCGTCCCTTACTTCGCATGCTTGCTTGTCAAGGGGAACGAAGATGGTAGGTAGGTCACATTCTCGTTCTCAGAGCCTCGTTCTTTTTGGTCAGCGTCGCTCTCGATCCACAACGCTGACCAAACGGATGGGAACGAGAATGCCCGCAATCCTAATTTCCAGGTTGTTATTACGTATGCGTCGCATGTATGTAGCCAGCATTCGTTTCGACTTTCACTAACAATGAATGGAATGCACAGAACGCAATTTGATCACGCGCATTTCGACCTTCGACCCCTCGTAATCTGATCACGCGTGTTTGAACCATCTGTCACGTGAAACTTACGGAATGCACAGTGTTCGGGCAAAAGCGTTTGGACCTCCGATCATTGTCGCCCGCACACCTTAACCTTTAGTTATTACTAGTTTTCAGTTCCCTAAATCGTAAATTTCTGTCATGGTCAGCTCCCACATTTCCGTTTTGAAGTATTTTCTCTAAAACAGCGCTCCTCAAGTGTCCGTTATCCGTCTCTTGCCACTTCTTAACTTAATCCGGTCCTTTTCTCGTAACGTTCTGCTAGGCCAGGCGTGGGTTTGAATTAGTGCTAAATCCTGGTAAGACTGCCCTTTTAATGAAGTGGCCGTTCAAATCATCCAAGTAGTTGGCAAAATAACATCACCCTCTTCAGTCTTCCACGTACTGTATGTAGTTCTTTAGAACAGTTTTTTTTAAATTTATGCTTGAATACACAAGACTTGTTTGCTATCTGGTGAAGAAGCAGTGGTTGACGGAAGCAGTTATGGAGGCGCATGTGAGCAGATCTTCAAAACAGAACAGACTCTTGGGGAGTGTTACTGCTAATCCAGGTTGCAGCCAATTAGAAAATGGTAAGTAACGTTACCACTCGGTCCGATTTTGAACCCCATCGCTTTTTTAACTGAATTATTATTCCTATCTAAAACTGAGTGATTGTCGCATATTGCGGTTATTATTATTATTATTATTATTATTATTATTGTTATTATTAAGGCATACTAGTGTAATTGCGATTGATTTTCACTCTCAACATCCGAGTCCAAACCATTGACTTTGGGAGGCAAAAAGGGTTTCTACTGGATGGAGAGGACCCGCCTGAGAAGGTGGGCTGTAGCAAGGAGAGTTATTATCTGGAGTTCATGTATGTTGATGTTGCCAGGGATTTTGTTGGTGTAGTTTTCCATGTCCGTCTTGATGGTGCCAAGGGCTCCTATAACCACCGGGACTGTTGTTGTTTTGAGCCCCCCACATTCGCTCAACCTTGATTTCCAAGTCTTTGTATTTTGTAAGCTTTTCCGTGGTTTTTACTGAGGTGTTGGTGTCGAGGGGTATAGTCATGTCAATGAGAAGGCAAGTTTTATCCTTCTTGTTCTTTAACACAATGTCCGGCCTATTGGCTGCTGTGGCCCTGTCAGTGTGGATTGGCATGTCCGACAGAATGAGTGACGCTGGCACTATTGGTGTCAGTCTTGGGTTCATGTTCATACCATCGTTCCTTCATCTCTATGCCAAACTCTCTGTAGATCTTCCAGTGCATGTGTGCAGCTGCCTTGTTGTCGCCGTGGATTTATTCAGTTTTAGCCAGTTCAGGGCAGCCAGAGACCAGGTGGTCGATGGTCTCGTCGAAACGGCCACACAGTCTACATTTTGGGTCCACGTCAGGCTTCTCTAGGATGCTTTTTTGGTACCAGCGTGTTGGGAGGCTTTGATCTTGGGCTGCGATGATAAAGCCCTCGGTTTCTGGCTTGAGGCCAGCTGCTTTTAGCCATCTGTGGGTCTTGTCTTGGCCCTCGTCAGCCTGTTTCACCCGCTGTGGTTATTTGCCGTGCAGTGATTTTGATTCCCACTTGGACCTGAGCTTTTGGTGACCCTGGTGTTAAGTTTGGCCTTGGCCTTTGTTCTGCGGGCATAGGTGGTGTTCGCCTCATCCTCTGCAAGTGGTATTGCAGGCACTCCCAGTTCCCGACTAAACTTCATTGACTGTCCGCTGATGGAGTACAAGGATTTCCTGTCGTCATGGTCTTAAATTATTATTAATATTAATATTATTATTATTATTATTATTAATATTAATATTAATATTAATATTAATATTAATATTAATATTAATATTATTATTATTATTATTATTATTATTATTATTATCTCTATTATCACAGTCTTTGCTGGTCTTCTTTTTGTGCTTCAGCCGGGCGCCTAGAGCGTCAGTCACTCAAGTCAATCATTCTGTTCATACACTGAGCACCTTTCTGAGGATTCGTGCAGATCCCAGCATGCAGATATTTTGAATCTCTGTCATAGTAGCTCTCTCTGATACTTTCTTGACGTTTTCTACCATACCCTTCTTCACTGTACCAAACGCACTAACAACCACAGGGATCACTACGGTTTTCATATGCCACATTCTCTGTATTTCTAGTTCTAGGTCTTTGTACTTGCATTTTTTTTCAGTTTCCTTCAGTGCTATGTTTCTATCTGATGGAACAGTCATATCAATCAGTTTGCAGGTGGAATTCACTGAATCTTTAACGATGATATCTGGTCTGTTCGTTGTTATAGTTCTATCAGTATTGACTGGCATGTCCCACATTATGGTGATGTTGTTATCTTTATTGTGTATCACGGTCTCTGGTTCGTGTTCGTACCATTTGTCTGTAATCTCTATATCATGATCTTTACATATGCTCCAATGGAGATATGCTGCAGCATTATTGTGCCTGGAGATGTACTCTGTTTTGGCTAATACCTCACATCCAGATACAGTATGGTCCACTGTCTCTTCACGTTGCGAACACATTCTGCATTTGGTCCATTTGCGTTCCACTCGCTGGCCACATATTACTTTCTGGTAGTTTCTGGTGTTTATTGCCTGGTCTTGAGCTGCTACAAGTAGTTTCCCTGTTTCTCCTTTCAAATTACTTGACAACCATTTGTTGGTGGTGACTGTGTCTACATGAGGCTTCTCTAGGATCTTTGGATACTGACCATGCAATGCTTTGTTTTTCCACTTTTCTTCTTTCATTGACTTCATCTTGGACTTAAACACGTGTTTCACGGCTTTAGCATTTTCAGAGGCAGATTTTTATTATTATTATTATTATTATTATTATTATTATTATTATTATTATTATTATCATTATCATTTTCACGCTTCACTCTATGCCGACGTTAATGGTTTTCTGAATCCCACAATAATAACTGGTGAAAATTATCGTCCAGACCTTCTTTTCCTAATCCAGTCCAAGTGCCTGTATGTTCTAGAATTAATAGTTAGTTTCGAGTCAGGAGCCCATCAAATGGGCTCCTGTTTCGAGTCTAACCTTAAGAACAATGCAGTGTGTAAAAAAAAAAAATATCCCAACTTGATCAAAGAAATGAGTATAAATTACAGATGTGTGAAATTTGTAAACCTATCCGTTAACTCCCTTGGCGTTTTCTCCGACGGATGCTCCACGTTCTTAGACATGATGAATGACATTGGCATTGACAAAAAGCAGCAACATTATGTAATAAAAAAATGATAAATATAGCCATTAGAGCAACATATTAGATCTTTTGTTATAGAAATAGGAATTTTGATAGCCCAGAATTTATTCAATCTAAAGCAGCCAATTATTATTATTATTATTATTATTATTATTATTATTTTTATTATTATTTTTTTTTTTATTTTTATTTTTATAATTATCCCCTTTTTTGGCAGTTTATTAACAGACGCCATCCAAAAAGTCAAGTGGTGCCAGTTGTTTCTTTAAAGTTTTTGTATATTATTATTATTATTATTATTATTATTATTATTATTATTATTATTATCATTATCACCCTTCTTGGCAGGTTATTCACAGAGCGCATCCAAAGAGTCAAGTTGTGACAGTTGTTTCCTTCAAGATTTTGTCTCGTTCTTGATCAATAATGTGGACAATCCAATGTGGTTATTCGAAGTGCTTAAAGAGGTATTTAACGGAGTCCTTTCAACATTTCTTAGTATTTTGGGGGTGCTGTCAACTTGTGCTGGTCCAATGGTGTTTGCCCGAAACGCAAAAAAGTTGAACGAAGAGAGCCCACTAGACCATGCAAGCAGCATACACAGAAGGGACTACAAAGGAACGGGATGGGATGGGTATGGGGGTCCGAGGTGCTGCGGCCGATCAAAAAGTGGCTATTAAGGCCTCTACTCGGGAACAAGGAAAAACACTGAGGTAGTGAATACTGTCGCCGTAGGAAAGAAGAATCACCCAGCCAATTGTTTTTTTTGGTATGTGTTTCTGAAAGGCTTCAACTGTTTCCAGAAATTCTGCCATTAACCGAGCAGTGACCGCCATACAAAATCACTAGCAGAAGTTTCGTGTTGATAGTCAGACATAAAACTTAGAATTAAATTGACGTCAACTTTTCCAAAGACGGACGCTGTTGGAACTGGCCCCTACGTCCGCTTTGGAGAGATGTCCCCCTATAAAGAAAACGACTGAAGAACGGCAGTGTCTTGACCTACTACTGTAATTGAAAGGGTTAAGTCTAGTAGTAGCAGTAGTAGCAGTAGCAGTAGCGGTGGCAGCGGCAGTGGCAGTAGTAGCAGTAGTAGAAGTAATAAAGAAGTAAAGGCTCTATTTCTGGGTGGTGACACTTCAGAGTAGTAAAAACACTGATAAATTCCTGACCCTCACCACACTATAAAAATTACCTTAAAAGTAAAATGTCATAAGAATTCTAGCACTATATACATTTAACATTAAAATTATCGACAGTTACACTGCTATAAAAAGCTCAAAATGGCAAAATCACCTTGGCCCTGTTCCTGGAAAGATGGTTAAGTTTAACTTAGGATTAAGCCAAATTTCAAGCCCAGTTTTCTCCGCGTCTGAGAACATGCAACTCGAGGTTACAAAATACTGCTGAGCCTTAACTACGAGATACAGCAATGATAACACAACGTTGCCCTAAGCAATGCATAGGAATGTAAAATACCAAAAATTTTAATTAATCCTGCATTAACGCTATAGGCCTTCCAGGAACCGGGCCCAGAAATAAATTCTTAATTTACGGAAGCCTCATATCTTGAGGTGCGGGTAGGCTACCAGATAAGTCAAGAGTTTTATTGCACGAACTCATACCTCTGTTTGCTAGTTTTCTAAGGGGTAAATGATTGACTTATATGTATGGGGTACTTTTATGTAGTCAGTTACAACTTGATTTTTGCAAACGAATAACATGAGTGGTTTGCCAGCATTGTTGGGGATCGATATCCGAAATGTTAAAAATGATTCTTTTTTAGCTGGGAGACCAACTGTGCATTGACATCGCTGACGGAAGTCTTACATCATTGGAGCAAAAACAAAACTTCCGGATCAAAAGCGCTTGCCAGGGCTATCCTCCTGTTAACCTTCTGCTGCAGAAGTAAGTCATCGTGCTTTAACAGTCTCAGTGTAATTCTCGTCTTTAATAGCTAAACTGAAAATGTACATGCGTGATATGTTATAGTTGTGGTCATTGTTTGTCTAAAGCACTCCATCTTGTCGTGTCTAATCCTCCGTCATCGCCCACCGCTCTTCTCCTAACCTACCATTTTGCCGCCAATTTACTGTTCCTCCTTCCCCTTACCTCTCCCTCTCTAGATCTTTCAGAATAACATCCCCGGTGAACTTGTAGTGTTTAAACTGAATAGTTATTTCCGTTACTGCAGTTTATTTACCCTGAAAAAAAATGACTTTTGCCCCTGAAATAAAATGATAGTATCCTTGCCAACACGAAAAAGTGCATTTTTTTCGTTTTCAACTCAGCATCTGCGGCCTGTCAGCGTAATGCTAAAATCCACGCATTCTTTGTGTGTTTCAGGGACTTGGATGCTTTCTCTAAACTTCTTCTGGGCCCGCAAATGGCTGACTTGGTCGCAAGAGTCACTCCTACTCGCGACCGACTCACACATAGGCCATCAAAAGTAATTTACCGGCTTCGTCAAGGCAGAATATATGACACTCGGCTACAGGAAGTGCTGCAAATTGCCAAAAGAGCCTTTAGTATCTCAGACTCCAGCGGAGCCATGTTTAAGAACTTGACTGACAAGATAACGACTGAGTTCCCACTCCTTGGGCAACAGCAGGAGCACCTTTTGATTTACGAGATGGCAAATAAGCACTCAATCCTTGAGCAGCTGCTGGAGCAGGACAGTTGGGATTGCTTTCGAGTGTGACTCTGGTTGAAGAGTTTGAATAGATATGTATTTAGAAGTTACTTGACAAAAAGAGTGACTAAAAATAGCGCAGAAACTGTAAGACCATTCAAAGGGTTTTCCTATTTTACAGCTAGTCACATATAATGGCCTAAAAAACTGTAAAATTATTTTAACAGTAGATTCACCAAGGTACCTTTTTGGTATTGCAGGTGTAAAGAAAGACTGACCATTAAACTTTTGAGGGATTTTGGCAGGGCGATTTCAGGAAAAGCTTTCCTGCAAACAGACTTGAAAGGAAAATATTTTTGCGTGAAAAAGAAGACTGAAGTAGATTCAATTTTGTCTTCACTACACAACCGAACGCACAAGCAACGCTAAGGGTCTGTTTATATGAGATGAGTCAGCCCGTTTAGTAGGCGGGCTGACCCGCTTTACTGGGTTAGCCTGTAAATACAACCGTCTCTCCTCGCTCCTCGCTGCAAGTACATTTCGCAAGAAAGACGTCGCTGGCTCGGCTAATGCCTTTTTTCCTCTTTAAATTTTCGTTGTGTTTATATGACAAGTGGGGCTGGCCCGGCTTGCCAAAAACCCGGTTGTTCGAGCCGAGCTGGGCTTGCCCGCCTCCTCATATAAACGCAACGGAAAACAAAAATACGAATAGCAAAGAGGTTTGCCAGTTCACTGCCATCGAACCGCGATCCATCGCTAGCAACACTCGAACCAAGTTCTCCGTTCCTTATGTCAATTCTGATTAACACAAATTACATGTTATGATAACAGCCTTGAGAAAAAAAATCTTGCGCAAACTAAATCACCCAACCCCCTCTTCCACCTCGTAAAAGCCAAATGGTCGGCCACAGACCTGCCAACTCTCATGATTCTGCCATGAGCCTCACGATTTTTATCGTTTCTCAAGGCCTCACGACAACACTCCCAATCTCACAGTTTTTGGGAAAAACCATTTTGAAATGAAATGTAACATTGTTGGGTAATCGAGTGCCCCTTCCCGAAAAATTGTGCTCAAGCATGTTAAGGTATGGCTCAATTTTTGGCCTCGACCCCCGTGAAGTTAAAGCTGTTTTTCTTCTACGACCATTTCTAAAAGTTGCAGAAAACTATCGAGAAACTTGAATTAATTAGGGGTTAAAGTGATGTAGTCACGTGAAACGTGACGTCATAATGATATTCAAAAAGTGATAAAAAAAAAATGGGAAGGAATGGTTGATTACAACTAAGTTTGAACTATGTGTAAATGTTTGTTTTACCGTACGATTTTTTTTTCTGTGGCCGGAACGGTGAGAATTTTTAATTTCTTAAAAAGATCTTAACAGGTAAAAGGTGTCACGTGACCTATTTTGCTTAATTACTAATTAAATAAAAACGTGAGTCAACCATTCCGGTCAGATTCAAGCGAGAAACAATGATACAATGACCCACCCCATTCTTTCCTGGACTCGATCATAAGTGGACAAGTGACATAGATATCTGATTTATTACCTTACACGAAAATTAAGGTTACCGATTTTTCCGAGGTTGCCAAATTTTGGAAGGTTCTGATAAATTTTGTCAAAGTTATGATCATTATAAGATTTTATGCAAATTAACCTTAGGCCATGCCTCAACATGCTGGAGCATGCGGTTTTTATTGGCTGCAACTTCGAATCACGTGTAAGTCAGGTTGGGTTTTGAAGTTATGTATTAGGTCGTGAATAGCTGCACAGAATGTAATTTTTAGCCTGCGTTTAATTTGCCACCGAACAAACGAGTTCACGGTTGTCGAACAAATAGGTTCACCATAACAAATCGAACCGACGAGCTTGACTCGTGGCAAAATACTATTTAAATATGAAATAAATATTGAAGCAATTTTCACAACCCAGCGCGACGATTCTCTTGAATTTCAGTGCGGTCATGCGGTATACAATTGGAGGAATGTAGTCTGTGGACTGCGGACTGGGTATAAACTGACACGGACTAGGTATGAAATGCGAACTACGGACTATGTTTTAAAAAACTGGGCTAAATATTTGTAGGTAAGGTAAAAATAACATTTAAAGATCGCACAACACGCAGGTTAAATTTTTGCTTAAGTGTCCCTCTATGTCCTCCAAGGCATAGCCTGTTCCAGGCTCCGAGATAGTGGTGAAAGTGAAAAGTCGTTCCACCGCCCCCTTTCCAGTGCCGTAGCCAGACCAAACGGCCAACCGAGGCAGGCGGGAGTTGCTTGGGGGGTTCGGGAGCATGCCCCCCCCCCCCCCCCCCCCC